ACACCTCGCCGCATCGCAACAGAGTCTTAAGGGCAATTGACAAGTCGGAGGATGCGCGAGGACTGAGAGATGGGCTGCAACAACTGTCATTGGGCCTGAGCAGTCATGGTGTTGCATGTGTTGCCAAAGAGCGTCAACACCGCATGCTTCACAACACACTCATCACTACATCTTCGTAAGGTTCCGTCTAAGCAAAGGTTGCAGCCCACGCCCCACCGCAGCCCGTCTCGAGCACACACGTGAAGACGGCCGGCGGCACGTGGCAAAACGAGCACAAACGAAGAGACCACGCAGAGAAGCATATTCTTCTGAGCTGGAAGAGATGTGCTCGCACATGATAGGACCAAACTTATAACTACCAGAAGAGACCATAGGATTCAATAGGAGACAGCGTGCACCTGAAAGGCGTGCATCGTGCCTCTGGAGACAGCGTAGTCGTCAAAGACCAGTGCACAACATCCTCCACTGTCCAGTCGCTGAGCCTACATCGGAAAGCTGGTCTTCCTTTAAACCATGAAGAATCTGGGCTCATTTGCTTTCATGCCACTTCATGCCTGCAAGCAGCTAGCAACAAGAGTAACAGGTGCCTCGGCTTGTGTGGGCGTGTGGGCCTAAACTGTCAGGTCAGAGACAGCCAAGCACTTGAAGAATCCTTTGTTTTCAAACACGTGCTGGCCTAGCCACCTGGCTCCTTGACAGGGAGAAGCAACAAGCTACCCTTTCGGTCGGCTGACGTGCATTTTCGCATCATGCACGCGAGGTGCTGACAGAAAGATCCTGAATGGAGCTGCTACTAGTAGCATCAGGATTGAAGCATACAGGCTCAATCAAGACGGGTCGTGTTCGTCAGGGAAGCAAGTGGCTAAAAGTCGAACACGCTACGGATGGAAGTCTGACCCGGCTGCTTCGACCTGAGTTGCATGATTCTGCATGATTGTGAAACGAGGTCCCCTTTGAGGAGCTGTGGCTTCAGGCATCCTCCAGGTGGGAACTGAACCGGGTTCACGACGAAACAGGGGGAGGGTTAATGAGCCTTCAGCATCCGGCTTCCCCGTTTGTCCCGGCGACGGAGGATGGTGAGAGTGCTAAGACGGCCGTGCCAGATTGACATGGAATCCCTTGGCCCTAGACCTGGGGGGGTGGGGGTGGGGACCGGGTGTGCCCCGATCACATTTGAACTAATGAGGCGCGTTTAGGGCCGATGTTGCCTCGTGATTTCTGTTCCACTATACCTACACAAGTGTCCCCAGCGGCACATAGTTTGGGCTTCAGGCTCCGCAGAAAAAAGGCCCTGATCCTCCCTTTCGTATTTAAGCCAGAAGCCTTATGACCGCACAAGGTTGTTTAGCGGCTTTTTTTTCTGGATCTTGTTCGGTGTGATGGGTCGATGGGGAGGTTGGGGGAGGTAGGGAAAGGGGGGTATAACGTTTCTGCCGATCTTAACCCTGAACCCAAACCTGGAAGCCCAGAATCTTAGGTATGTTGCACAAAGAATCAAAAACGCCGTAAATACCTGTGTTTTGGGTGTGGTCGCAAAAATTGCATGGGAACTACTCCACCCTAACACAGAAAGCAGCAAAAAGGAAAGAAGGAAGCAAATAAAGAAAGAACGATAGAAAGAACGAAAGAAAGAACGAAAGAAAGAACGAAAGAAAGAACGAAAGAAAGAACGAAAGAAAGAACGGAAGAAGGAAAGACAAGATAATGACACAACACAAGAAATAACATATCCACGGAAATAAGCAAATGTTCAACTCAGGAAGAAACCGCAAACTACTGACAGACCCGAATAACAACAGTAATAATTACAATCATGAAAGTACTAGGCAGACCACTGTTATTTGCAGTGTTTTTGCCTCTCTGTACAACATACTGTAAAATCAGCACACGCACACACACACACACACACACACACCCCAACCTGCACCCAAGCACGGACTTTGCCCTAAAAGCCTGCAACCCCGCACAGTGCGAGGCCAAACATTCTGTACCCTCAAGACACAGCTTGCATGCCCCAAGCTGATAATAAAGCGCACGGCAACCTCGAAAAACGCGTCTGTTTGATTTTGTACAAACTTACGTACAAAAAAAACCTGGTTTTAGCTAGGCGAAACGCGCGCTTCCATAAAAACACGTACGGATTCAAGGGCGGCGGGATATGTAAGCGTTCCTGCTTCTCCTCCTTTCTGCCTTTCTGCCTTTGCTTCCTCCTGCCATCCGAGGAAATGGCGTGTTGTTTCATTTAGAAAGCTAGAGGAAACAAAGGGAAAGCGATGCCCCCCGATAAGAACTCTTCGTTCTAGAGTAGAAACAAGAGAATCCTGACTCTCTCTTACGGTACTGACAGGGCTTCTTGAAATCTGAATTTACGCCCTAGAACAAGAAAGGCCTCCCAGATGCCTTTTCACAAGGCAGTCAGAACAAGTTTTTTGCAAGTATTCGGACGGTTCTCTAGTCTTATGAAGATTACGACACATTCTCTGGCCAACACTGATGCTGTTGCGAGGGGATCAACACGTTTCTCTCCTTTTAAGGGAATTAAGAGTCACAAACTTCTTCTGGAAAAGTGTCATCACTCCCTCTCTGGCCTCTCAGTAAAGTGAGCGAAGGGCTATGCAGAAGATGAACATTTAAGAACGCCCCCCCTCCAATTCATAAGAAGGACGGTAGACGTCTTGCGCTTTAGAATCGTAACGTCATTCTTAGCCAACCAGATTCTGCATCTAGAAAGAGGAACTCAGGCAACTTCTTTTTCTTTCGCATAGGAAAGACATTGTCAAGATGAAAATGAACATTTTCGCGCGGATGGGCTGGCGGCTAGCTTCTTACTTACCAGCAGCGCAGATGCACCAAAGCCACTCCAAAGCCAGGCGCGGTGAGCTCCGGAGCTGCAAACCCTCCAACGAGACATCGAGCAAAGCAGCTCTGAGCCCAGCCCGATGTCGCTGTCGAATAGCCCTTCAGGTCACCCTTTACATAAGGAACCCCAACTGCTTTCAACCTTTCGTTTCGTTCGTGAAGCGAACCTCAATCCGTGAACTACAGTATCGCTCGAATGAAAGAGTGCACGATCTGCCTTGGAAACACTGAACCCGCAGGTCGAGACGGAACGTAAACGGACGTGGGGGATATGAACCAATTTCATGTGACCAATAGACATGTTCAGGGCCCTCGCACTTGTGGTGTGCTTCTGCCCATGACACCCTGAATAAATCTACTCTTTCACCCTGAACACTGAAAGGAATCCTAAAGCCCCGCAGATAGACACAGAACGTAGATAAGTTAAAGCTTTTTCGGCCCAACCATACTAAGTTTGTGTGGATGGCACATGTGCGCTCGAATTGGCGCACGTGCTGCCCTTCAGTATTGCCATCCGAGGTTCTTTCTTCTCGTTTTGGGGCGGTGGAAGGGAGCATTGTCCACACAAAGGTCTATGATGACATACGTGTATCTGCATGTGTCATACATCTTCGTGCTGTGTGCTCCTAGCCCTAGCCCCCACAATTAGCTCCGTGATGCGTGGCCGAAACGAGGGAAAGTAATCGACGTGTGACAGAAGAGAGGAGGCTCGAGCAAAGATGCGGCTTCAGCCGGCCGATTCTTTGCTAGCTAGTTCAACAAGAAGCTGCTAAACGCAACTCGTAAAGCGAATATGAACTTCACAAAAGCGTATATAGACTATTGTAGACTTCGATGCCCAAAGTCAAAAGAACCCAGAGTGGTGCAGCATGCAGTGGTCCGTAACTGTGCACGGCCGCCTGAGGCGAGAAAGTAATCACATCTGCGGTGAAAACAGTTCGCCACGAACTACACATTCTGGCAAGCCCACCACTGCTCCGCTGAGTGAGTGTCCTGTGTTGATATGTTTTGCTGAACATGGGTCCATGACCCCTCCATCTTGGGCCAGAAGCAGCTGCTTGACATCATGCGGTGCGGATACCTCGTGGTGGGCTTCACCAAGCTTCGGCGACATTCGATCCTGAAAGGGCAAGCGAAAACTCATCACAACTCATCCGGCCGAGAATCCAAGATGCACAGGCGCTATAAACTGCATCTGCCTTCGTGTGCTACAAGTGACGATATCCAGGCCAGTCCAAGGGCGGCTCATAATCGTACCTCCGTTCGAAAATGCTGCCACAAGACTTTCGGAAGCTCTGGTTCACGAATGTTAACGACTCGAAACTCATGCTTCAAGCAGGGAAGCTTCTCCATGAAGGCCAGGAGGGCTCTTACCTTGAGGTGTTAGAGGCACATCTCAGGCGATGTCACCACATGTCACCAAATGTCGCTTCACGTCTCTCGGCTTCTCTGCTGGGCCGTGGGCAGGGCCATCCTGCGGTTCGGGCTCCCATTGCATGTCGCTGTTTTTGCAGCTCTCCTGTCACAGAGATGAAAAAGAGATCTGCTGAATCAGAAACCCAATCTTCGCACGCTGCAAGAATATGTGTTGGCGCTTGTTCTGCTGCGGATTCCCAAGCCCTGCTGGTGGCTTGGGAGGATTGGGCTCCAGTGAGCACAAGGGCGTCAAGGATTGCCCTTTGTACATCTTTCGGCGAAAGAGGGGGGGAAGCAGTTTGCTGTCAATCCTCAAGAGATTCAAAGCACGCAAAACACCGTAAAAACTTACAAGGCCTGAGTTTACAGAAGGCTGAAGATCGGGCAATGCTCTGGCACCATTTGTGACCAATTGAATAAGGTGTCCGGCACTGTTCGACGACCTAAACACTGAAGCAGCGCAGAATTTCAAAGTGCTCAGTCCCAAAATCACGCTACACCTGCTTCTCTGAGGCCACTCAGGCCCTGAGGCAAGCCAAAAAGCGCAAGCCTACCACCTTGCATTGTCTCAGTAGGTTGGTATGGGTGCTCACCTCATCCAAACTCGCCACCTGCTTACGTAACATATCTTAAAACCCACGTTTCCTTCAGGTTTGTGCTACTCATGTTCTTCTCATGTTCTGGTTGCGGATCCGACCCGACTGTCAAGTGCATCCAGGCGGGCGTCAGGGATCAATCAGACGCGTGCACATTTCGGCCTCCGAGTAGTGGCAAGTCAGGAAGAGGTCTCTAGCCACCAACCACTCACCAGCTTCGTAGTTGCGAAAGCCCACCGCAAAACGCTCGAAGAATTCCTGCATGCCCAATGTGGTCAAGGCAGCTTGCTGACACTGTGGGGCTCTCCAACAGTTCACGCCTTGGAGTACGGTTCGCGCATCACCACGAAATCCGAGTGGTTGGCTAAAGTCTCGCACAAGTCGAAGTCTGAAGTCCACAACCTCAGTACATTAATCATTGTGCAAGGTTTTCAGATTTAAATGCTCGGGTCTCATGTGTGCCGCAGGTGCTCTGCCAAATTGTAACCACGCTGCTCGGTTTTGACTGCTTCCCTCATCTGTCTGACCTTGTATCTGTTGTATACCTTAGTGCTGCGCTCGACAGGCACAAGCTGCCCCAACAGACATTTAGCTTGTGTGCGTGTGGGAGCACTGTGTGCACCTTCGCTGTCTGAGTTCCGCACCTTCTTGGAGCGCCCTCGCAGCTTTGGCTTTACATGGATCCGGGTATGGTCCAGATCGAGTGTAAAGAGTCGAAGGCACTTCTTGGAGCCTGCACGGCAGAAGGTGAAGGAAAAAGGGCACAAGGGCGCTGCGGCAGCAAATGCGCCGCCTCAATCTCGAACTCATATCTTTTCACCCGGCCTTCCAGCATGACGTGGTCGACCATTCGCAGGTACTCCATCAGCTCCTTGCTGCCTGCAGCGGCCCACAGAGAACAGAACAGCACAGAACAGAACAGTGGCAATGCGACAATGTGCGGCACAAGTAGGGCTGGGCTGGGCTGACGACACAGTGAGGCTTCCATAGTGTACTTGTTCGAACATGTTCAAGCAAGGTGCACAGCTTCACCATGAAGCTGGACATCAGAATCCACAACTGCAGCTGCGTGGAAGCAGCTTCCAGCTGCGAAGCCACATTCACGTTCGGCGACCTGAGGACGAGAACACTGTGAGAACCAAAGAGCAGCACGGATTAGCAATGATAGCAATGATTTCTGATGATCTGCACTTCAGACCAGTCTAGCATTCTGCAGCCCCGTGGCAGGTAGGACGCATCGATCTTGTACTCACTGCCAATGGCACCCTCAATGGCCCAACCGCAGTGCAGGCCAAAGCCCAGAGTGACCTTGCAACTGAGTCGCTCCAAAGGCTCTTGAAAAGTCTCTTCTCTCCATGTTTGTTCTCCCTCCCCACCCCCCCACCCCCCCACCCCCCCCCCCCCCCCCCCCCCCCCCCCCCCTCGCTCTCCTCTCTCTCCTCTCCCTCTCTCTCTCTCTCTCTCTCTCTCTCTCTCTCTCCCCCACGCATGACCCCCCCGAAAAAAAGGCCGCCCCCAGGGGCGCATGCTGTCCACGGTCTTGTCTGTGATGCTCTCCGTCTCGTGTTGAGCGGGAGCCCGGCTCAGTTGGCCAAAACCAGAGGTCGGGGTTCAGTGCAATCCCCCCACTGTCCCTCATGGTTGCTCTCAGATGGGTCAGGGTCTATAGTATAGGGTCCAGGTTTTTTTTTCGTGTTTTTTCTGGTTTTTTTTTCGTGTTTTTCATGGTCTTGGGTTTAGGGTTTAGGGTTAGGGTTTAGGGTTCAGGGTGTAGGGTTTAGGGTTTAGGGTTTAGGGTTTAGGGTTAGGGTTTAGGGTTTAGGGTTTAGGGTTTAGGGTTTAGGGTTTAGGGTTTAGGGTTTAGGGTTTAGGGTTTAGGGTTTAGGGTTTAGGGTTTAGGGTTTAGGGTTGAGGGTTTAGGGTTTAGGGTTCACCTGAAACCATAAAAAATACGAAAAAAAAACCAGAAAAAATACGAGAAAAGAACCATCAGCCTATAGTATAGCTCTGTGTTCTGATTATTCTTCTTCTTCTTCCTCTTCTTCTTCTCCTTCTTCGTCTTCTTCTTCTTCTTCGTCTTCCTATTCTTCTTCTGCTGCTTCTTCTGGGCTTGAGCGGCACAAGGACTCCCCCATTCGCCCTCGCGCGCTCAGTCCACACGTCCGGTGTCTTTGATGTGAATTTCCGATGGTGGCTCCGGACTATTCACCCAGTCACTCGCTATTCCCCCGCCCACTCCAATTAGTTCAACTAAGCCCCCTCCTCGATTGCCGCACTTGATTCAGCGAGTCACTTCCGGCGCAAGCCTCTTCTTTCGGCACCATCGTGTGAGACGGTCGAGACGTTGTTACCTTCCCCAGCCCTGTTGCCACTTTCAAACTTTCATCCCGACTCTGGGCTTGTACACGGCAGCTGATGGGTCAGGGGCTCTTAGCTGTATCCCTCCCATCACACACTAACTACTCTCTCCTGGCCTGTCTTATCAACAATGCAAATCGCTCCCCGTAACCCATGCTGCCTTGTTGCCGATGCCGCCCTCCCTCTACACACCACTGCTAAGGTCCGTCGCTCTCGCTCGCTCCCTCTGTCTCGCTCTCTCTGTCTCTCTCTTCTTCTGCTCAGCGAAGAGGCCCCCCGAAGAGGACCCCGGCCACGCTGGCCCGCTGTTCTGTCCAGGTGAAAGCGTCTCTCTCTCTCTGTCTCTCTTTCTCTCTCGGCGGATCTCGGGGACCGGCCCGGAAGTCCGGGAAGCGCTGTTGGAGCCCCGGGTGCGATCGATAGACAGACAGAACGTGGGATTTCTGCACCTCGATGGTGATGCACACCTGCAGCTCGGCCACAAGTTGAATGCTGAATGAAAACGAGAACTCGCAAGAACACGCAAGAAACCACATGGACTCGTTGCACAGTTTACAGCCAAGGCACAAAGGCCATCACGGCCATGTCGGCGATTTTGCTTCTTACCTCCGGGTCTTTCCCGCGTAAACGCCAGACCTCGCCGATCGGTGGCATCAAGGGCAGGCATATGTGAACGATGTGATGCCCGCGAATGCGACAGAGATAGAGAGAGAGAGATAGAGCGAGAGAGACACAGAGAGAGAGAGAGAGAGGGAGACTTGCGGCCATGACATGCTATGACCAAGAAAGGCGAGACACCACCATGAAGGAGTTTCCACCAATGATTTGGTTGGGCGAGCCGTGGTAGGTGTCGCATATGCCTGCACTGTTGCTTCGAGGGCTGAAATGCTGATTGACACAAGGGCCTTTCACATGCTGTGATCTGATCCTCATTCATCTCATGTCCATCTTATCACCACATCTGGGTTGGGCACCGTGCACAATCTCGCTGACCTGGTTGACGAAGACCATGACCTGAAAACGGTTTAACCCTCTTGCCCGACAAGCTCCCAGGTTCAATGCAGGATTGCAAGCACTTCTGGCTGCCAACGTGTTCTGCAGGGACATGCTTTTGGCAAGTGCGTAAAGGCATTGTCAACACTTGGAAAATCATGGAAATCACACCCGACAGCTTTAACGCTTTTCAACAGAGTTCCCACTGTCCCAAACAAGTGGTCACAAGCGAGGTAAGATAGGCTTTCGGAAACAACACGTACCAGCATCCGGAGGTGTGCCTTCTCTTTCAAGACATCCGTGGCATCGGTGAAGTTGCGGATGCTACAGAAGCCGAAAACGGCCTCGACCTCCTGACCTGTACAAGAGACAGGTGTCCATGCAGCAGAACGCATAGCACACGCACAATTGCTGCACAAAACACTCCCGGCACCTGGAACCATTGCATTCCTGGGCTTTGAACGGCTTTGAAGCCACCACAAGCTGATCGGTATAACTCCAATAGCCTTTAGCGTCCTTTAGTGCATCTCCTGTTGCGTTACCGGCACCATCTCTGCTATTGACCCTGGCCCGTGGACAGCACCACAATCCCTCACCAGCTAAGAAGCAGCTCGGCGGTCGCCCCGCCCTGCATGTTGTGGACGATAATCTCTGCACCCGCCTTGTTAGGGTTTGCAAATCGTGAGGTTGCGACTACCGGCAGTGGTTCGAGACAGCCCTGTCCTCTCCAAAGCCCAAGGCCAACAGGCCGCCAAGCTTAATCAGTGTCCTGTCAGGACACACTGTCGGAGTGCAAATGCGGATAAGCATGTTCTTTGAGATGCTGGCCTGGCCTACAGTCTAAAGAGCCTAAAGTTCCTACTCGGCTGCAAGCATCCCGTGCAGAGTGCTTTTGCCGTTGTGGCAGCCTATGGGGGCTCAGAAACTAGTTTGCGGATAAAACTCGAGTTGATGCGAGATTACAGTGACGTCCGTTGAATCGGATATTGAACCGATATCCTGTCTTTGGCGGCTTTAGCCTCGTCCTCGCGATGGACATTAATGCCGATGTTTATCTTGTTTGCCGATGTTTTGCGTGACATTGCGCACCTGTCCAGAAACAACATGTCTTGCCGCTGCAGTATTCCAGATTCTGGTCTTCGGACAGGCTCCAAAAGCCCTCTGGTTCTGCGAAGAGCTCACGGTTCATGCCCGTGGCATCCAGTATTCTTGGTTTGTTCTTCCGAAACAAATTCCATCTGTCGCCCCTGGACGGCCAGCACTTGGCACATCCATGCTCCCAACAGGTTCGCATCACACACCTGAGCGACTGAAATAGTCTTAGAACTCATTTCGGCTGACATGACCCTGGCTACAACAACCGTTGTTTTGGTGTTGGCGCGACTGTTTCTTGTGTAAAGGGCTGTTGATCTTCATCTTTTTTGCCTTCGACTGTGGATCGTACCCGTCGTTGAAACCGTTGAGGCGGCATACTGGCCGGGATTGGCCAGGTGCAGAGGAGCGGCGGCCGTACAGATAAGCACTGTACGGAACAGAGACGAGGAACAGGATGACTAGGATGACCATTCCATAAGGAAAGGTCAAGCACGCTCTTTCTCCAAGTTCGCTTCGGAACGGAAGTTGTCAGTGTGCCCCTCGCCGGCCAGCAACAAAGTGGTTGCAGCGCAGCAGCGGCAAGCGCCAGCTGGAGCTAGCAGCTAAATGCTGTTGATGACGACTCGCATTGTTGCGATCCCTGACTTGGTCGAAACCAAGTATTTTCCTGCCATGGAGAATTCCTCCATTCGTCCACATAAATAGTTTCTGCCACGTGGTTGCCGCAAGCTAGAACCTGGGACAGACCCCTCTCAATGAGCGCCTATGGGGGCGACATGCAAATTGCTGCTAAGAACTGCTTTGCATCTCAGCTTGAACATACACTATAGCTGAAAGAAGCGCCGCAGTAACCGGGGATAGCGATGCTGTTTTGGGATGTTCCCTCCTGTACTAACAGTCCTTAATCAGGATGGTAATAAGGGTACTATAATCCCTAATAAGGACTGTCAGTACAAGAACGAATGTCCCAAATGCTGCTGTTTGTGCGGAAAGCTTGCAAAAGCTCTGTTTGCCTGTGTGGTTTCAGGATGAAAAACCTATCCACACTACCATGGCTCGAATCTGATCACCCAGATGATCGCATTTCCCCGCTTGAACAGTTGCAACAAAGAAACTGTGGGCTTATATCGAAAACATTGCATCGGGGTTGAAGCAGCAGCAGAGGCTGCCATCTAAATTCGGCTAGACGTGTCTGGGGGATATCCATCTCCATCTTCGGTTCTTGACTCGACCGTGCACCGGTTGAAGCGGGGCCTGTCAGAACACCCATCGGTCAATCTCGGGATCCCTTTCTCTGCAGCAAATAAACTCTGTTTGGGAGGGGGCAGAGGGGGAGGGAAGCGGGCAGAGGTAGGAGGGGCATGTCATGAAAATGTTGGGCCCGATTCCGATGCCAGTTCACCCTGACAAACCATCTCTTCGGAATCGCAACAGGTCGCGACATGCCTTTGGGAGGGTAACCTAGTTGGTTTTCAAGGATCCGGCCTTCCGCCTGCTTTCTACCTCAAAGCTTATCACCCCAAAATGTCCTTGATGCGCCAATAGCCTCAAATCATCCTCTATTCCACGGTTGTTCCCAGCGGTCCTTTCCAAGATCGCTGTCTCGAGGGTCTCTAAGTCATTGGTCTCCTTCTTCTTGCGACAGCAGCCTTGCCTTGGATTCGGGTTTGGTCGCGTGCGTTACAGTGGCCCCCAGTATCCGTGCACGAACCTCAGATCTAGGCAAGGACCTCGGGTAGCCTCAAGCTAGCGTTAGTTTGAGGATTTTAAGTCTCAGGGTTCAGGGCTGGACGACGAGTCCATAGCAGGGTGAGTTTGCGCTGGCCTTGCATGGTTTAAGGTCTTGCGGCGCGGTTGCCTGTTGGCCTCCTCCTCCTCTTCCAGCTCCTGCATCCTGCGGGAGGCAGCGCCAAAAATAAGAACCACAATATCTATTATTGCAAGTTGCAAGGTACCGGCCTGAAGTCGATGTCACCCAACTTCATCGCATGCAAGGGGTTCTTCCTGATGGCCTCGTGCCATCATGAGCGATGTCAAGCAACGTCGAGCAACGGACGTCGGCCGAGCAACGTCGAGCAATTGCAGTTAATGGTCAACATGGTCAACCCGGTGGGCTTCCAGTAAGTCCGGTTTCCCAGCGTTGTCTCCATTTGTCTCCTATACGAGCTGAGTATCCGGTTCCTCGTGGTGGTCTGCTTTGATAGAGACATCCCTGCTTGAAAGCCTGTCTGCTCTGCCAGTACTAGCACTTACGGCTCTCAGGAAAAACGGAAGGCATCTTCAGCAAGCCCAAGTTGTTTTTTTGCTCCCCTTGTCGATCGTACGGGCAACACCAAGCTGACATGCTGTGTCCCTGGCGCAGATTTGGACATATCGGCATGCATGCATGCAAATTTTGCAACGCGCGTGGAAACATGTAGGTCAGCGAGCTGTGCGTGTGCGGGGTTTGCGGTGTATGTCAGCGGGGCGTGCAGAGGATTGCACAGGCCAGGGTGCGCGCTGGGTTTGCGCGAGATGTACACTGGGTGCGCGCTCTGTCTGCCTGCCTGTCTGTCTGCCTTTCTGTCTGGCTCTCTGTCTCATTCCGTGTCTCTTTGTCTGTCTCTTTCTCTCTCTCTGTCTGTATCTCTGTTTGTCTCATTTGTCTGTCGGTGTGTCTGACTCTGTGCGTCTGACTCTGTGTGTCTGACTCTGCGTGCCTGCCTCTGCCTGCCGGCCTGCCGGCCTGCCGGCCTGCCTGCCTGCGTGCCTGCGTGCCTGCGTGCCTGCGTGCCTGCGTGCCTGCGTGCCTGCGTGCCTGCGTGCCTGCGTGCCTGCGTGCCTGCGTGCCTGCGTGCCTGCGTGCCTGCGTGCCTGCGTGCCTGCGTGCCTGCGTGCCTGCGCACTTGCACACCTGCGTGCCGGTGCGCCTGCGTGCCTGCGTGGAGCGTACGCGCATACACACGAGTGGTGGGGTGTGGTGTGGTGTGCTGTGCTGTAGACATCATTGGACCTTTTTTGACAAACAGAAAACACTCTTGGGCAGGCAAGGACAGGTCTGTCCCAATGGCCGGGGCCGTGCAGCAGCGCAGCACTTCTCATGTCTCAACGCGTTGGGGCTGGGTCGAGAGCGGGAGCGCGCGACACGCAGGAGAAAACGCGGAGGCGTCGAGCCTCGAGCTAGGGAGCGCGATGCGCAGCAGAACACGTGCATGCCCAAGCCAAATCTAGCGGCCATATCGGCGCGGAAACAGCAGCACCCAGGCGAGAGCACGATGTAGAGCAAACAATGTAAGGCTTTCAGCTGCACGTTGGCTCAATGCTCGTAAGATCGAATAATCTGAACATCCGATATTCCACCAACATACTTTGCAACGTTGGATGGCATGGATGGCCTCCAGCTTCACGAGGATCCGCTCCAGCGGACCCAGAAGCAGAGCATGGGCATCCCGGGCGAAGGAAATGGCACCGGCCGCCAAGGCCATGCAAATGAAGCAGGTCTGCAGCCTCGGGTGTTTGGCTCTGGGTACAGGAGTAGATCGCATCGCCTTATGCCACCTCTGCTCTCTCAAAGCTGTCTCAAGATGAAGCTCAGGCTTGCGCATGTTCAAGCCAGCCGCACTCTGCGTCACTGGCCGGGTGTCAAAGGCAAAGAGCAGATCCACCTTGACTAAAGCATACTGTCAGGTCTCGAACTGTAAAAGAAAGATGACTCTGCGTGATGCTGCATGGTCACATGTCCCTTGCCGGATGATGTGGGCGAGGCTTCTTGCTTCAAAAACACATTGCCCCTCTCCTCTCCAGTCTTCGTCATCGGCGTATCGTAATGTACCTCATTGGTGGTGCAAGATGGCAACATCTGCAGCGAACTTGGCTGGCCATGCTTCCGGATGCAGAGGCCAAAGCCTCATTGCAACGGAGCGTGTCTGTCACCGAACAAGCGGTCGACAAGGTGAAGGTTTGGCCTCAGAAAGACGATATGCTAAGTCTGCTAAGTGCTGCGAAGCCGTCCAAGTTGTCCGAGCGGCTGTTTGGAGACACGGGGACCCCAAAAAAACCCAAGCATCGTTCACGCCATGGGTCTGCCAGTCGACGTTTGACCTCGTGATGTTATTGGGAAGTGACATGAGTTCATGGCCGTCCCCGCTGCCCCGAGCCTCTTCTGGGATGGGCCCCGTCGGATCCCAGGAATTGAACTCGTCCCACCGCCAGAGTTCATCCTGCACAGCACAGTCGAGAATCAGCCGTCGAGAGCACTGATCTCTCAATACTACTATAAAGACTGTCGGCGTCTGGGGGCTGACGGTTTCCTCCCGAAGCGCAGTTCCCAGAAAGCGGTCTTGGTTCAGCCGTCCCAGGGAACCCAGGAAGTCCTTAAGGTCAGCAGAACATAGCAGAACGCCGTAGCGCATTGCTTTGCAGGCTCAAGGCTGCTCAAGGCTGCTCAAGGCTGCTGAAGGCTGCTCTCTCGACTTCCTGCGTCCCGTGCATCAAGAACAATGCCAAGGATCGGCCGCTGTTTCACTTCCGTTGACAGCCAGCATCGTCTCAGACTTGACACCTAGCCAGTAGAGACCTTGCAGAATGCCAAAAGGCCGCACACCTGCTTCAGGCCAACGTTGTGCTCAGGACGGGACGCCAAGCGAACGAGCCACCTCGCAGGCCGGAGGAACAGATGCAGAACAGATGCATGAGCAAGTACAAGGATACAAGTTGATACAAGAGTGATTCAAGTGGTGCCGTCCAGCTGCTCAAGTGGCTCCGCACAAAGCCCACGAGGTATTGCTCGTACCACATGCGCCTCAACTTCGGCATCAGAACAGTGTGTTTGCAGCACAGGCGTGATTTCAGTCATTGTGTTATGAGAGATTATGAGAGCTTGTTTCTTCTACTTGCAATTAGGAGGCTGCTCCTCGCGCGCAGCAGGAGTCTGATCTGGAAGCGCTTGCAAGCACCATGGCAGGCCCTTGGTGGGGGCACACACGGAAGGCAAAGTAACAGCAACACTAACAGAACAGGATATGCCGGAGAATAAGCATCAGAATTAGCAAATATGGCCTGGATGCTTCACTGTACACTCCGTCACCGTACGCTCCTATTGAGTTTTTAGAGTCACCTGGGTGTTGATGCCAAGGCGCAGGAGTAGATGTGGGGCACCAAGACCGAAAGCGCCTCAATGACCATGCAAGGCCGAAAGGGTAAGTCAGGTCTTTACATGCAACAAATGCTACCGGATGTGGCACGCACTGGGGCAGACGAGAAGCTCATACACAAGATCTGCCCCAATGGCGCCCGAGCTCTTGAACTCTTGTCCCCAGCTCTCGGCATTGAAGAAGCCTGAACCTGAAAGGGTGGTGGCTACGAGAAGCTTCCAGCTCCTACTCCTTCCAGACAGGGTGCAGAAGAGCATGACGAGAGTCAGCACAATGACCCTCCGGGATGTCATATTGGACAGCTTCTTCCCAACTCCTGAGGCACGGCGCCGATGATGCGCTTATGCCAACTTTGAGTACTCCGTGTGATGGGGGGAACTCGGACTGGGCAGTGCCATCGAGTGTCTGGTCTCTGCTTGGCCATCCATTTCCGAGTCCTCCTTGCTTTCATTAAAGCCTGACTCCGTCAGATCCCACATCTCCTGCGAGCAGGACAGCGGAGCGAAACGCAGCGCTGCAAGAGATCTGCAAGAGATAACGGCATTCGCCATGCCTCGTTGGGGGTGCCAGGTGGCACAGCATACAGACGCTCGGTGGCTTTAGCGATCTCCATGCCGCGCTGATAAAACTTGTACAGCCTTGGAGAAGGAATCGGAATCCAATGCTTTCACTGATGCCAAATTATCTTTGTAGAAAATCACACAAGCGGACAAGGAGCTTCCCGAGCCGTATGAGCCTCAGTAAATAAGACCAAGCCCCGCACGGCATTAGCAGCAAGCGTTAGACATCGAACAGTCCTCTATGCCTCTATGATCCGAGACACCGCAGGATCCGAACTGTCCTGGCCGCACGAGTGTCCGCCAGGTTGGCTACAGCGCCTTCCCAGCTGCCCGTGCTGGCAGCACCTCAGCGAAGCCCGCAAAAGGTGTCTGGCACTCCTACTGCAATTGCTCCTGATTGTCATTTCTGGTGCCAAGGTGCTGAAGGAGTTCAAGTCTTTGCAGTAAAGCAAGTTGCCGAACCATGTGAGGTCAACCAGCATAGTGACAGTCGCGAGAATATCCTCGGAAGAAGTTACAGACATGTGACATGCCAAACCACTTACCAGGAGCGGGCGACGTGAAATGGACAGTGCGACTGGGCGTCAAGATAGAAGAAGAAGCTAAAGAGGTATGTGCGGTCACCAAGTGAAGCCGCTATGATCTCCACTGTGAAGACAATAAAAGCCACGACAATCAATACATTGAAGAAGTTGTCAGCCTCTTTGCCTGCGCACTCGGGCTGGGAAGCTAGATCGCTACATGCGCTACATGCGCCCCATGTCTGCAGCGGGAGAAAGCGCAACGAACTGACGACGCTGTAACGGGCGAGCAGACGCAAAAAATTGTAAGATGCAAGCGCGAGCCTGTCGTTAGGAGCCGTAGGTCGTCTCCGAGAAGAGCACCGAATGTTAGCACTGTTGTCAGCGTTAGGAAGCGCCAGTCTTCGCAAAGATGCCGGCACCACATCCTAAGTCTTTTTCTGACATGGAGGTGCCCTTCTTCCACCTCAAACTGCTTGGTGCCCGTCAGCTGCGAACAAGGCTCCGAATCTCATCCTCCCAGCCATTGACAAGGGCACTTTCCGAAGATAGCACCTTCTCCAGTACCCCTTGGCTTCGACCTCGAGGCCCTCCGGTGCCAGACATAACGTGCTCCGTGTTTACAATGCATTAAACTCAGCATGGGCATCAAGTCAGAAAGCTCAATCAAGGCTATGCCCCTCCTTGCGGCAGCGTCAACGTAGCAGCGTATTCCTGTCAGTGAAACGGAAGTGTTAGCACCGGCTCCCCCTGTCAAACCCTGGACTGAAAGATACATTTGATATAGACACCACCCGATGAATGCAGACAGCTTCACTAGACAATGCTGCCCGTGCATCGCGAATCCATAGGCGCAGCGACCAGGCGCCTGCTCTGGCTTTGGAGGGGGCCTGCTGCTCCTTGTAGGCAAAACTGAGATTGAGAAAGAACAAGTCACGGCAGCTTGCAGGCTCAAAACGATGTGGCAGAACACACCGACTGACTAGGCAATCTCGCCTCGTAGGGCCCCACACGCTGCGCGCCTGCAGTCTCGGTGGCCCTGACGCCTCCGCAAGCACATGCGTTTGCAGGAAAACATGCAGGGAAGAAGGAACAGCCTTGAAAAAATGCTCCGAAGCTGTTCTTCAGATTAAACTAAACGACAAGGCAATCGATCGGTGACATTGCCAAAGCTCATCCAATACTATGCTGCAGCTAAGCAGCAGCTGCTAGTAGAAGCATGTTTTGGTTGGCACGACACTACTGTAGGCAAAGGCAGCAGACTTCCATGCTGACGGATCATAAAAGCAGCCGTGTCGACGAGCTGTACCAAATGAAACCCTCGTACAGCATGAGGCAGCGGCCCCCGTATCCACAGAACGTAGGGTGGAGGTTGGCCGCATGACATCACCTGTTGAGTTGAAACAGTGTAGTAAGCGACTTGGGCACACAACGTACAAACACATGGAAGGCAAGGATGTTGGGGAAGAACAGAGGGCGGTGGTGACTTACATCTTGTATAGGCACAACTCAGGATAAAGAATGCATGTCTTCACCAGTGCCTGCCCCGGTATCCCGATTTTTCGCCAATCTTGCACAAGCTTACTTTTCCTGCCTCGGTAGCCGGGCGAAGCCGGCGGCCCCTAGCCGCAATCGTTGCGTCAAGATCCACTGAGACACAAATTACAGAGAACGACGTAAGTACGCTTTTCCTTCCGAAGGCTCGGGCTGGCAGATGCAATGCTTTGGCACCGTGAAAAGAGGGTCTCCGAAGACAGCCACTGTGCAGCTGATTTCTCCGTCCACGCTTTTGACAGAATACGTCCGCTTCAGAAGGTCCTTGAGCTCAGCCTTTGGCTCACTTTGGTCATTCACGAATCGCCTGCCAAAGAAGACCTCACTTGCCCCCATCTTGGCTTCTGGCCATCGGGTAAGAGTCTGTAAGAGTGAAGCACAACGACGTGATCTCCGGGACTCCGAGGCTCGAACTTTGCCCTTGCACTGACAGGCACCACCATCACTGGCGCAAATGACGCCAGGCCCATCTTCCAGCGGATCTCGCGGGATCTCCTGCACCCAAGTTGACCCAAGTACAAGTGGAGAATTTCTGTGGATGCTCTTGATGGCCCAGTTCTGCCCAGTTCGAGGCGCAGGCAGTGAAGTTGCCCACACTCCTGCCTTGAGCTTTTAGGCGCACGATCTCTGCACGAGGACTCAACGGGAAGTACATCCACAGAAATGCCGTCAAAGGTGCGGTACAAGGCTCCAACGAAAGTGGATGCATCAAAGAGCGCAGGACCATCATATCTGCTGGCAAAGCCCAAGGAAGCAAACAAATGGTACATGATCCTGTCCATGGGCTTCTTGACCTTGAACTGCAGGTTGCAAAAACGCATCATGCTCAACACAGATGCTCCTATCTTTTCGAGATCAGCCCGAGAAAGGCCCCAAAGGGCCCCCACGCCGCTTCGCTGAAACGCCTGGACCTCAGCAACATCTCAACTTGGGGACCTCCCAAGGTGTGAAGGAGGCGAATGCAAGTCCGACGCGTGCTGGTACCAAGGTGCTGCGCTTGGTAAGGACGGGGTCTTCTCAATGATCGTCTGGAAACTCCCAGGTACGAAGCTCTCGTCACCTTCGGCAACTGCATCTTCGCATTTGCTCAAATTTGCTCAGCCATGCTGCGCTGAAGCTCTCACGTGGTAAGGTAACTAAGGTAACCATGCTTTTGATTACATTGGTTTGAGCTGAATTTTGGCCGAGGAGAAAGAGGAGGAGGAGAAAGAGGAGGAGGAGGAGGAGAAAGAGGAGGAGCAAGAGGAGGAGGAGAAAAGAGGAGGAGGAGGAGGAGGAGAAAGAGGAGGAGGGAGAGGGAAAAGGGAGAGCAGGAGGGAGAGCAGAAGGGAGAGGAGGAGGGAGAGCAGAAGGGAGGGCGAGGAGGAGGGGGAGGGAGAGGGACAGATATATATGTCTTGACCAACTCCGTTTTGAAAATGATCGGGTGCCTTTTCCAAGACTCAGAGCGCGAATCGTTTGAAACTGACTTGTCGAGGCCCCTATTCTTTGCCGAGGGCTCGCTACATATCGCTACCAATAGGAGAATGGCCTTTGCTTGTTTATGAAGACAAGTTTGCGCACTACACTGAAACAAGGCACCCCGCACCTTAGTAATCTGACGACAGAAGTTACTGCTACCTGGCTGAGGTGCCCCGGCTAAACGGCACACATGCCAGTCTGCTTCCCATGCCGAAAGCATGAGCAGCAGCAGGGCGTTTCCCATTCCCTTGCTAAGGGTCAGTCACGGCCACAGATTCGACTCTCGACTGGAGCATGCAAAAACTGACGGGCTGCTGCTTTAGGGTTGTTTCCCCACAGCCCACTGACACGCTCAGAGCTTCGATTTCGATTTCAATGCTTCATGAGCTGAAGACTCGACGTGTCGCTGAACATAGGTCATTTCGTTTGCAGTTGCTGTCAGAAACGCACTGGCACCTTCAAAGCAATGAATCTTCAGCGGGGTGCCCTTCGCTTGCATGTCTTTCAGCCTGAGCTTCGGTACTGCTGAGACATTGCTCGGAAAAAATTGCTGCTTTAGAGCACGACCGGGTCGCATGCGAGGAGGCTCTGCAGCAAGCTATGGTGCTCCGAGTTGCACCGGGTGAGCAATGTTCTCTCCAATGCCAGCCCACGGGATGTGACACTGTCGGGTCACATCATCCGCACAGCAAACCTGACACCGATCTACCGTATTCCTGGCTCTGCGCACTTGGCTCACCCGAATCTGTACCTATGCATTCGGTTGTCTGCGATCCTGTATCGTGCTATGGCTTGTTGAGTACATCTTTGCTGTTTACAGTTTCTTGTACTTGGTTCGAGAGCCTTCATATGCAGACCTTGGCAGCTTTCGTTCGGCTTTCGGGCGTTCCTTGTTTGAATGCCCATGCCTTGGCAGATGATCGGACGTGCACTTTGGACACCACTCCGGGAAGCATCAGAACTAAGCCCGAGCAACATGTACAGGAACTGCCAAGCACTCGAGAAGACACAAAACAAGAAACGCACGTGGCAACGCTCTTACCTCCTGCCAATGTCTAGGATCTGCTGGTAAGCGCAGCAACACAGTTTCACAGGTTTGGCCTTCTTCTCATTGACCTTGAGCGTGTCATCGCAGTGGCTGGTCATCGCCTGGGCTTTTCAAGAACTGGACACAAAATACGACCAAAAAGCCCACAGCAGCCGTCCCTGAAGCTCCTTCAAAGGCAGCTCTGACATGCTTGGCTCCTCTCCTGGCCATGGCACTCGCTTTTGTGCCTCCCAAACTGCTTTGTAGAGCGTACTGCCCTTCCGGCCAGCAAGGAAGTTTGAACCTTGAGTGGACCCGAAACCCTCATGAATGCACTGAGGCAAGCAGGAAAGTGGAGCTACATCCCTGGACTTGCTTTTGTTAATCCGAGTTGAGCTTTTGATGCCTCACCCCGGAGCCGGGCGGATCAAAAAATGAGACAGGACCTTAAACAACGGAAGCAGGAACCAAGCACCCTTTGGATTATTTCAAGGCGACCTCAGTCTGCTAGCCTGTTCGCATGGCTTTCGGATTCTCACGGACGGCTGTCAGCAACCAGGGCGGGCGAGATTCAAAACTTTTCAGCGATTCGAAACACGCACAAAAAGGAGCTCATGTTTCGGTGAATACTTCTGACCTTCTGGGCGGAAAAGACCAGAGCCTCGCTTATTACACCATCTGTCGTTCGTTCAAGCTTCTTGCTGCTACAAGTACTGCTATTGCAAGTCACCTGCCTTTCGATCTCCGAGCCACTGAAGCTGCCGCGGCGACATGCTTGGCCCGAGGTGGTGTAGGAAATGAGGTCGTGGTCATCAATGCGGTCCAAGATCGGCGCAAGATCCTTTGCCACCAGGAAGTCCTTAAAACAGGATCAAGATGGACCAAGGCTTGGGCAGACGAGGGACTCGACTGCTGCCCTTCTACTTAGTTCTTGAAGATCATCTTCTGAGGCTCCGTGTCCAAATACATCCCGCCGTGATGATACAGAAGGGCATACCTGGTGGACACATGCTGCAGACCAAGCGTGTTGTGCGGCCACACTGCTGCCAGTCAACCAGGGCACCGAACAATGTCTGATTTGGCAGCATCATATGGCATGCGCTCGAACTCGGCCGGCAAATCCGGAATAAACTCCTACGCAGCTCACAAGCACGTTGCAAACCGCTCCGTGATTCTAAGGGACGATAAGGCTACAAAGAGCTACGATCTCTGCACGCAAGGAGCCCGGATATTTGTGTCGTTGATCATCCAAGGGAAATGGCAACGCCCATGCGAATAGTGACGCCACGATTCCAAATTCTTGGAAATAAACCTCGATTGCAGGCGACACGCTTGATGCGATACAGTAAGGCACTGTTGCATCATGTGCTGAGCTACCACCACCGACTGCTGCATAGATGCATTGGTGGCCCACTGGCATAGTTCCACATCACGAAAATGTTGCAAAGGCTTGATGCCACTTTCGTCTTGCCCGCGTCTTTTGCAGCCTCTGCTGGCAGCATTGATGGAGCCTGCAGGGTACACTTGGGCACAGCGTTCCGGGGAGCGCAGCGCTGCCCGACGCATCTTCTAATTTGCTTGGGCGACAAGACTGCCGAATCGGCAAACGTGCTTTGTTTGGACGAGTCGCATTTGTGATGGGCTGCGCAGGCTGCAACACCACGGCAGCCCTGCAGATGAAACAAACCCTCATGCAACGGGCAGTACAGTTGAGGCACAGGACCTTCCATGCCTTAGCTCAGAAATCTCCGTCCGCAGGTCTGCCAGCTGATCCTCCACAATTCGCAGACCCTTCACAGATCTGCACGGAGACGGGACAGGAACACAGCGCTCCTGGACGCTCTTTTCCACGTGTTGAAGTCGCGCCTTCAATGCCTCCACCTGCGCAGCCTGCGCAGCCTCATGCTCGGTGCCTGCATCACATTGTAATGAGGTGAATAGGTTCCCAGCAGCTCTCAGCAGATCCTTCTCAGTCTGTTTCTCCCGGACTTGCCTGATCGACGGTCAAGCCAGCTGAAGTTCTCCCAAAGCGCCAGCAAGGCCAGACCTCCTTCGAGAGACCCTCTTGATCGCTCTTGGTGTTCAAAGGGCTCAAGAGCACAGCGAAGCACTCTTGAGCGCTGTGTGCAAGATGGGGCCACTCCCACTTCATTTTCAAGAGAGGTGGCCGTTTGGGACCTACTACGATCATTGCGAGAAGGATTTGCGCCACATGTTCAGAAGTCTGGTGCCCTTTGTCTTCCCCCAAGACAACTGTCTTGGGGCATTCGATTCGAAATCGCCATGTCTTGAACACAATATTATACAACTTTCATCTGCTACAGCAATCTCTGCACCAGGGCTTGAGAAACGCTTTTTGATTTGCTCCCGATCCTCGTTCAAGCAATTTCGATAACGGTTCGCACTTGGTGCCAGCTCACCTGGGGCAAGAGGAAAGTTTGTGGCGGGCATTCTGCCACCATCTATATGCCCTGCTGAGAGAGGACCGACCAGGAACTATGAACCGCAGCTCTCCCCCCCCCCCGAGAATCGCAAAGACGTTGCACAGATTTGAAGACAGTCTTGGCTTGAGCCTTGAGCCTTGAGTCGCAGTGGCCAGCCTTCAGTCTCGCTCTGTGCACTTTGTTCCTCTTGCCAACGCGCTCCGCTATGGGAACTTGACTGGGGCTTACCAGGGCTCAAGGTCTCCTGCAACAGCGGCGAGGCTGGGGACGATGAGTCGCCGCCATCGCCAGCGCATGCGGCATACGGCATTCGGGCAACTCTCTTGAATGGGGCCGGCAACTTAAATTGGTGTGTCACGGCAGATATCAACCCTCATTTGGACTTGGCTTGGCAGAATCTGCTGGGGATGCTCTGAAATGTCGCTGCACACAGTTTCGCCGAAAGTCATCTCATTTCCGGAGAAAGAGAGAGAGAGAGAGAGAGAGAGAGAGAGAGAGAGAGAGAGAGAGAGAAAGAGAGAGAGAGCGAGAGAGAGAGAGAGAGAGAGAAAGAGAGAGAGGCAGAGAGAGAGGCAGAGAGAGAGGCAGAGAGAGAGGCAGAGAGAGTGGCAGAGAGAGAGGCAGAGAGAGAGGCACAGAGAGAGGCAGAGAGAGAGGCAGAGAGAGAGAGAGAGGCACAAAGACACAAAGAGACAGACAGAGAGAGAGAGAAAGAGAGACGCAAAAGAGAGAGAGAGAGGGAGGGAGAAGAGAGAGAGAGAGAGAGCGAAAGCCCTGGATCCAAGATTCCTACGACAACTTAGATTGCCAGGATCCAAAACGGGCCAGGCGAATTATTTTGACCACAGGTTCGCGCACAGGGGGGCGGGGGGGGGGGGGGGGGGGGGGGGGGAGAGGTGAAAAAGTAGCAATAAACCGAAAAACAGCAATAGTAGACATATTCAGCAGAACATAGTAGTGACTACCTGCAATACTTTGAAATACTTGGTAAATCTTGATAATACAGGGGAGGGGAGGGGAGGGGAGGGGAGGAGGGGAAGGGGGGAGGGGAATGGGGGGGAGGGGAATGGGGGGGAGGGGGCAGGGGCGGGGGAGAGGGGGAGGGGCGGGAGGGGGGGACCTTCCAGGAGTGCAGGAGTGCAGCAGACACCTTTTTGTGCAACGTACCGTTGGACAAGTTAAGCTGCTGTGCCGCCCAACACATGGTACAACGACATGCTCGCGTTCGAGTTGGTGTCGCATCCGTTTTTTGCATGCAACTATTTAGGGGTTCGGGGCAGGGGTTTCCTTCGCAAGCGCACCTCCCCGCTCGTCCATCTTCTCTCTCGCTCTCTTTCTCCATCTTTTTCGGCCGTGTCTCTTGCATTCTCTCTTCCTTCCGCGGTCCCCATTTGCAGACACAGCGCTCTAGGTTTCTTTGAAGCAAGCTTTCAAGGCTTAGAAAGAGCGACGCACTTTAAAGCAAGCTTACAAGGCTTCAAGAAACTGGGTGGTGGGGATGCAGACCCCCTCTGCCTTCTCATTTGCAAACACATAACACTTTGCTCGCATGACGGGCTTTCATCTGGATTCATATGGGCTTTGACAAAAAACTGATGGCATGATGTAGCTTGCAAGGCTCAAAGAAGAGGCAAGGGGCTGGAGGGGATTCCTGTTGATGGCAGGATGTCCTTCAATGCGAGACGTGTACGGCTTGAAGACTCAAGGTTTGCATGACGGGGTTAGAAAGGTTTCACAGGGGTGCTTCAAAAAATCCTATTGATGGCACTTTAAAAGCTTGCAAGGCTTTATGGGCGGGGGCCAGAACAGGCCCAAATCGGCCAGAATTCCGAGCGCAGACCAGTGAGTATCGATACATCGCCAGTCACTGTCTATTTAAGCGATGCGAGTTGTGGTAACAGCGGGATAAAACTGACAAGCCGAAGCAATTTCTAATAACACCAGAGGAAG